ATAAAAATGTATTGAGATGCAAATTACTATGCAGTTAAAATGTATATTTGTTAATAAATGTTTATTTACAAGTAAGATAAAAATCACACGAACACATATGCAAATATATTTTTAGAGCACATAAACATCGACATAAATGCATAAATAACTATAATATAACCTTTAAGAAAACACTGAGTGCCGATTTATATATGGCTCCTATAAGAGCCACCCCGGTCCTTTAAAGGTTAACACGTTTGTATCGAAGCTCTAAATATGCAACTAATTTCGGAAATCGGAGACGTTCAACTGACGGTCGGCCGCTGTATCGCCGCGCATCATCGCACACATCGTTAGTTTTTTACCTTTGAGTTTACTTAGAAATTACGTATAATAGTAAAGCAAAAGATAGTATTATATATTTTTGCAGTAAATAAACTTAGAATAATTATTGGACTTTATTAATTAGTATGATAATCTTTAAAATGATGAATACACATATAGTACATCACAAATATCACATTCAAAAGCTGTTTCCTTTCGAAGTGACTTGGATAAGCATACAATGCATCGCTTCGATGTTTTTCTTCCCTTTGCTACCGCTGAAGGTATTCGCGTGGGAAAATGCCGGCCAGTACATCTCGTTATTGTATCATTGACAGATGATGCCTCTCTTATCCTTTTGTCTTCTAAATATTTTATCATAATTTCTGATTTTTGTTTATAAACATGGGAATCTCGATCCTTTTTATTGCTAACCAAAACTATCTACTGTTAACGATAGCCAGAAAGGTCTGAACAAAAATGAAGAAAGTAAAATTTGCGGATAATGCACTGAAAGCTCATTTACTACTCAGAGGACGCTCGCGGACTGTTTCAGATTCTCAAAAAGTGAACGTCGTTACTCGCGAAATATTCCGCGGCTGATGATAAGTGTCATTACGCGCGGATTATTCCGCTTCCGAATGCAAATGGATTAAACACGTTATACGCATATAATCGCTTTTAAAATGAGTGTTTTACAAAAAAAATTATAAAGGAGCCTAATTAACATTCTAACGGCAAAGGCAAGATCGCTGTCGCACGGAAGAGACGTGATTACTAATTGCCGCATTAACATGTTTATCACACTTGTGTAATAAATTGCCGTGAATCCCTCTCTCTCTCTCTCTCTCTCTCTCTCTCTCTCTCTCTCTCTCTCTCTCTCTCTCTCTCTCTCTCTGTTTAAGTCTTCTTTCCTGTAAATAATTTCAGCCGTTCCGCGAAATACGCAGTAGCCGTTACTAAATGGCCGGCGGTAAACCGCGCGCGCTCGCGCGGCGTCGCAACTCGAAGCCACGAATCACCGCGCGACTGCTTTACATTTTTAATGGCCATCCAGCGGCGCGCGCTTCTTTTGTGCGGCACATCTCCATTTTGATGACATTCGCGGCGGTAAATTCCAAAGCCGATTTACGGATGAAACGGCGGCGTTATTATCGTCGGCAGGTACGAGCGGCTGAGACAGGAGGTGCCGAGCGCGATCTCGCGCGTGCAAGCGTTCGAGGGCAATCTGCTTTGCCAAGAGCTCGGTCTAAGCGCCGAGGACAAAGCCTCGCTGAGGGAGGTCACCGTGGCCTTTCACGCTGCCGGGCCGCACAGCGTCGTCCTGGAATATTGTCAGGATTTGCCGAAGCTTAGGTGCGTCGCCCTGGCGTCCAGCATCTTCAAGTATCGCGGCAAGATAAGCGAGAGCTTGCAGAATGAGGACATCCCCAAGATACCGGTCGCCCTTGTGCGCTTCCCTTTCATCGGGCCGGCTCACAAGCAACCCATGCCCGGTTTCGTCGAGATTCTCCGAGGACCCACCGCGTTCATGGTCGGCGCCGGCTACGCGTTCGGCAACGCGGATTCGCAGGCTGAGCTTGTTCCGATGGACCTGGCGGTGAACACGATGATCGCCGCCGCGTGGGAGGTGGCCACGTACGTATCGGTGTGAATGGAAAAATCGCGTGTCCTCTTGCGACTTTAGCATCCGCCGAATGCTTTCCCTTCCCCTCTCAGCGCGCACGTGCGCGAGGGAGAAAATTGCGAGCCCCACGCATGCAAGAGACCTACTTCTTGCCTTCGTTCTCGCGCGGATTTCCTTCGTTATGAGCCGAGGCGAAATTTCGCAATTACGACAGCGGATTAATCCGAGTTTCGAGTGCTCTCAGTATCGCCGTCGTTGCGAAAAAAAAAATGATTCTAAAGGTCATTTATTCGAACGGTTAAATTTAATCCGCCTTTATCACGTCAAGCATCGCTCTCGCGTATTTGCGATAATTTCCACGGCGGAAGCGATCTATTAAGAGTCGCCTTATGTAAGTGCAGTTAAGACGCTTAAATATTATGTTCGTCGTTGCCCGAGTAGAGAGAGCGAAAGTCAACCGGTGCTGAAGGTGGCGTGCAATACGTGCGGAGCGTTATGCAACAGTTGCGAAACAATTGCAATTAACGTCCGACTGCAAGGCGCTAAATAGGCTGGAGCGGCGGGCAGTCTTACGTTATCGTAACTCGCGCGTGATTCGCGCCTTTCCGATTTCTCAAATCGCTGTGCAAACATTGCTTATCGGCGCTGGAAACGAGTTTCCAGATCGCAAGGGGAAACAGCTCTCGTTATCCCCTCGTACGCGAATAGAGCAAGTTTTTTATTAAATATAAAAGCATCAAGCGCGCGGCGACGTCTCATGCCGAGCATTACCGTTATCATTACTCCAGCAAAAAATCGTTAGAGCTATCCTCATCGAGGCCCCGATAAGACTAAAAGTAGGATGCTCTAAAAAGGGATGCCTCATTATCGCTACATCAAGCTCCGAGATGGATCTTTTAAGGATACCTTAAATTTTATGAAATAAGGTTTTGATAGGAAAAGCTGAGAAGGGCCTTAGAAGGGTTTTTAAGGATGTCTTAGATCTAATAACTAAGGCTTTGATAGCGAAAATTGAGTTGGGTTTTAGAAGGATTGTTTAAGAATGCCTTAGATCTAATAAATAAGGCTTTGATAGGGAAAACTGGTAAGGGCCTTAGAAGAATTTTTTAGGAATACCTCAGATCTAATAAATAAGGCTTTGATAGGGAAAACGGAGAAAGGCCTTGGAAGGATTTATTAGAGATGCTTTAGATTTTACGAAATAACGCTTTAACATGGAAAACTGATATGGGTCTTAGAAGGATCTTTTAAGAGGATGCTTTAAATATACAAAATCAAGTTTTCTTATAGAAAATTAATAAGATTTAAAGCGCGTAATAAAATTGCCATAGTTTAGTGTTGTTTTAGTAGGCTCTATCTGGTTCTTTTAAAGATTTATTAATTATACCCCATTTAAAAACAAATTTTATTAGATTTATTAGTTGCCATATGCATCAGTCTCTTCCAAAGATTTTTCTAGTATTTCTTTCGTTTTGAAATACAGCAAACTTTAATGAAAACAGTAGCAAGATTTTTATGTGTCAAGAAAGAATGTTATATTTTATTGTAAAATATGCTATATTTTTAAAATAAAATTTCTTGTTGTCTACTAACAAAAAAGGTTATAAAGAAATAAAGAAATTACAGTCTAAAGTTCTTGGAATTAAAAGAACGAATATTTTTACTCAAGCGATAATAAAAATATTTTGACTCGCAATTGCAAGAGTGGATGTCTCACTCAAATTTTGAATAGATTTTAGCTCTATACTTTAATATTACTCTATGAGACTTTTTTAATATCGCTCTTCATAAAACTTCTGTTAATATTTCCTTATAAGGCTCTCATAATATTGTCTTATAAGGACCCGTCAAACCATTTGTTACACATCTTGCAGGGCTCTTGTCTTTCTATCCCTACTAGGGCCTGATTAATGTTAGATAAAAATAATCAAGCTCTTACCAGAGCCCTATTAATTGTTCTACTCAGGTGGCGCCGTCAGTTCTGTCCGCTTTATTTTCATACAAACTGAATCTCCATTCAAAGTGAAGCGAAGCGCCGATGAGTGCAAAGGAAAAGAAATCAACGGAACTCCGCGAATGTCCGAGAAAGGCGTGCGGGAGAGGTTTCGCAAAGAAAATAAAAATGTGAATGAAATTAATGATCCCTCCGTTATCTCCGCCGTATTTCCTTAACGTATCGCGATCAGTATCTGTCGCAAACACGGCTCGTCTATTTTCAATGCCACAACGCGAAATACTGGATACGAGCAAACAAGTTTTACATTTCGCGCGCCGTTTCTGTGGTTGTTGCCGTTTACTCGCTCCCGACTCTTCCTTCCGCCCCAATTGTCTAAAACGAAATTCATTCCCTTCAGTTTTTTATTTGAGCTTCACCCCTTCGTTGCTATCTCCTCGCGACATCACGAATCCTTCGGCGTAAAAATGCGAGCAAATACCCTTCGGTGCTTTCGACACGGTTACGATTGTCTCGAGTCGACGTCGTCAGTCGGTAATGCAAATTAATACTCGGCGTTTCTCGAGCGTGAGCGGAAAGTAGAATCCGATCCTTTCGTCGAGTGTAGTGTTTTACCGTGCAATTTTTCATCGACGATACGCTGGAATTACGCCGCCTGCGCCCCTCAAGCGACACTTCTACTCATTTCAATCGACGACCGCGCGCCGATCGAACAAGACCAGCTGCTGACTTCGAGGCGAGAGAGCTCTGCATTTCTCGCCGACTCCTCTCGAGATACGTGCATACCCTTCCGGCCTAGCGTGAATTATATTTCCGGTTCTCGGTGGAAGTATACAGAGCACGCGCGGCTTGGCGGTCGAAGAAGCGGCCGACGAAGAAAGCGATTATTCGAGATTGTACGCGCGTACCCGGTAATTGAAATCGATAGTTAAATTGCACCCTCCCCCTCCTCTCCGCGCCACGACACGCGATAGTTAGATTATATTAGATCGGTTTACCAAACGAAGTAAGCCCCGCCGCCGAAGATACGGCCGGTGCATCGATTCCCGCGTGTAGGACGCATCGGCGAGGAAAGTGGCTCACGCGGAGCGTGAAATGAAAATCGAAAATAATATCGCGCCGTCGGGGAGGCGGCGGAGGTGCACGCGCGCTCGCGAGAGGATCAACAACAGGAGGGACGGGAGGCCAGCCGAGCGACGATCAACCCGGACATGTTCCTCGCCTCGCGACGCGACCATCCTCGTCGAACCGCCTCCGAATGAGATTTTAATTGGCGTCGACGCGCGCGCGACGAAAAGCAAACGAGCCTTCGAAATCACGAGCTTTACTTAAGCCAGCCTCAACTACGGTTACCGATCGAACGAAACGAACGAACGAAACTTATAGCTGGCCTCCGACCCCCCCCCCGCGGGCTCTTTCCCTAAAAGTCTTGCGTTTCGCTACTAGTTTCAAGCGGGAGAGCACCTCTCCGCTTCGCTCTGAAGTATTTCCGAACGACTGAACTGCGAATAAGTTGATTGCATTCGCCTAGCAAGAAACGAAGCGGCGCGCGGCTCTCTCCTCCTCTCTCCCTCTTTCTCTCTCTCGCGCGCGCGCGCGCGCGCGCTGCGCACCGTTCGGCTTTACCGGTTACCCCCGTCGCGTTTCGTAGAGGAGTTACTAGTTGAAAATACGATTAATTATCGGTAGTCGTTAGTAGCAGCTTTGCAGGCAAGCGACGGAGGTGCTCGCAAAATTCACAGGCGTAAATTCAAGCGTCGATGTAAATGCGAGCGCACGGAGATACATATCGGCGCCTCGCGCGCAAATGAACGCGTGCGCGGCTCTCCGAATAAAGCAAGAAGCGCGTTATTCGATCGCATGCGACGCAACGCTACGCTGAAATTCTACCGAGTATGCTGAGCGCTGCGCTTCTCTCTCTCTCTCTCTCTCTCTCTCTCTCTCTCTTCTCCCGCTTTTCCCCCTCGCTTTCTCATCGCTTTTCTCATCGCATTTTGTCATGCGCAGGTCCGACATCGCGGAGCCGGTAGTCTACAACGCGGCGACGATCGGCTGCACGTGGCATGAACTGGAGAAGAAGAGCAGACGAGCCAGCTGGTCATTCCCGTATCCGACCTTTGGGATACGCGGAATGACGAACAACGCCTCGCTGTACTGGATTTTGATCGTGCTCCTCGAATGGCTGCCGTCCATGCTCTGCGACAGCGTCCTCAGCCTATGCGGCGGGAAGCAGAGGTATACGCAGAAGAATATTCTGGTGACAACTAGAAATTTTCTCTACTAGAAAGAACCTCCGCAAAAAGTGCCCGTTGTTCAGTTTCCGATTTTTAAATTAAATTAAATTTTATGCGAAATGATAGCTCATGATAAGACATTAATCACAAAAAAGTTTTACATTGAGCATACAATTGGTTTCAGAGATATGGAGGGTCAAAATGGTTACTACCTACTAAGGAAGTTTGACACTAATAATATTTCATCGCACGAATTTTCGCGAAATTCAGTATCTATGAGTTCTTTGAGTTGCTTATTACGAATTCGATGTCAGATTAAAAAAATTCAAGATGGCGGATGTAATATAGCGGACACAAATAGTGAAACAATTATTTACTTTTATTAGAACTGTTATGTTGTGGTTTTTTCGGCTAGCTGATTGTAAACTTTCTATTAGATTTACATTTACCTTCAGTGTAGGCCAGATGAAAAAATTATCCAGCCAGTGAAGGCAAGATGAAAAAGTTATCCAGCCAATGAAGGCAAGATAAGCCTAAATATAACAAATAAAACTATCACGTTATCCTTTATGCGTCATGTAACGTATCAATTTGAATTTGATATTTTTTTTATGAAAAGACAATAAAAAAAATTTTTTCCACTCAAAAATTGTCATCGAAAAAATTACTTTCGAAAACCTAATAGAAAATTCGCAATCAACTAGCCAAAAAAACCACAACATAACAGTTCCAATAAAAATAAATGATTGTTTTACTATGTGTGTCCGTCATGTTGCATCTGCCATCTTGAATTTTTAAAATCTGACATCAGATTCATAATCAGCAACTCAAAGAACCCATAGATATCGGATTTTGCAAAAATTCGTGCGATAAAGCGTTATTAATGTCATACTTTCTTAGTAGGTAGTGACCACTTTGACCTTTTACATCTTTGAACCCAATCGTATGCTTAACGTAAAACTTTTCTGTAATTAATGTCTCATCATGAACTATCTTTTGGCATAAAATTCGATTCCAAAATCGAGGACCGAACGAAAAACGGGCAAAAAATTGACTCTTTTTGCGAAGGTTCTTTTGTCACATGAGATTCGATCGAACCTCATGTGACAATGACCAGAAAATTCTGTTTTGCAAAGCGAAGAACCATTCGCATCGACAACCGCTCTCGATTGAAGGAACTCAAATTTTCCGTTTCGAAAATATAGTTACCGCAGCAGAATATTCGGCTATTCTCACAAAAAGTGTGAAACTACATCATACGTGTAAAGAGAAATGAAATCTTGGTTGTATATTGCGACGGAAAAGATTCATTTGATGAAGTTGAATGACGCTGCCAACAATGTTATTTTCAGCTCGGCCGCTCGACTGTTTTCCGCGAGTTTTCTCTCCCTGATGTATTCGGTTTTTTTTAACATCACGGCGCGACAGAGAATAATTAAAATTTTTGCCACGGCCGCCGTGAATTTTAAGACATCAGGTTGCATCATCATTAGGAAAAATTGACGAGTAATTTATCATCTCGACGTTACATATATGTACACTTTGACTTTATTAAAATTTATACCTTACAAATAATGTGTGCATGCAGAAAAATATTCTGTAGCAACGACTAGAAATCTATTACGTAAAGTCTTTCTATTACGTAAAGTTCGATTGCAATAGCAGAAAATTTTGTTTCGCAAACCGAAGGACCATTCGTATCAATAACTGCTCTTGATTGAAAGAACTCGAATTTTCCGTCTCGAAAATATAGTTACCGCAGCAGAGAAATCGGCTATTTTCATAGAAATCGTACAACTACATCATACATATAAAGAGAAATAAAATCTCAGTTACTGCGACCGAAAAAATTCGTTTGACGAAGTTGAATGACACTGCCACTGATGCAATTTTCAAACCGGCCGCGCAAGTGTTTTCCACCTCCACTGTCGTACACAGAAACGCTCCATTTATTCGTGTGAAGAACGAAACTTGGAGCTTTGACTACATTAATGTTTTCGGTTTAGGTATATTTCTGCGAGACCAGAAACCTTCCGACGGAATTTCGCTTGTGGTGCAACCAAATTTTCAATTAATTCCTGAAAAACGGAAGGCTTCGCTTGTTATAGCTGAAATTCAATTATATCAACCAAATAGTTTCTTGCGTGTAGCACGAGCGCGACATTTAGCGCGGAATTTGCCGAATCGCGAATTTATCGTCATAGTTTCGTCAATGTCTTCGCGCCCGGTTCGCAGGGTCGCGGAAAATTTAACACGGTCACTTCGATCATTATCCGCAACTCCGTTGCCATGAAAATGCCATGCCGGCAAATCGTTTCGTTAAGCTTCCGTCATGCCAACGCTTGGTTCTTCTTTCCTTTCCCCGCCAACGATTTCATCGTTCATCGTTACCTCGCGCAAACGGGACACGTTAAGGCCTTTACGCACAAAAAATCCATAATCCTAACCGTAAGGTTGTAAGAAAACTGACCCTAATCAGGGTCGATTATCCTCCTTGGTTCAGAAGAATAATCGACCGTGATTTGTCAGTTTTCTTATGATCTTACGGTTACGTTTAAAATTCTTGGCAATGAACTAAAGCTCGCTCGTGCAAAGAATTATGTGGATATCTGAACGCAATCTTTATATTAGATGTTCAATCGCCCGGGGGGGGGGGATATTGTTGAAACAAGTTGCAATTTACAATACGCGGCGCCGGTGCAACAGCTGGCGATACAAAATATGCCGACGGCACGAAGTTGTCCCGAAAACGCGCGGTCCTACTAAATTCAATTACATGACCAAGTCACCTCCCAAAGATGCATTTTCATCATCCGCCATTTCGCGATCCAATCCATTAGTTATAAATATCGCAGGTACGTCGCGTCGAAATGTGTCGCTTCAAATAGAAACGTCACGTGCCACATTTGCATCAATTTGACGGGTCGCCCATCGCTCTCATTTATCGCTTCCATTTATTTTCGTTTGCGCGTTTTGATATCGCACAATGTTATTTAAAGCGGAACTCGCGCGCGTTTTCTACGCGATTCTACCTCGTCTCTTATACATCGCGGCCGGACGATAAATCCCAGAGAGATCGCGGAGTATAATCGCCGGCGATATTAAACGCTCGATGTTCAGCCTGGAGATAATCCCGCGCCTGCATTCGCGAGCATTAAGAAATGATTAAAGCCGTTCATACATGAAGCCTCCAACTTCGCCGATAACTATCGCCGCGCGATCGCGTTGCGAAGGAAGTTCGAGATGGGGGGAGGGGGGGGAGAGACCCGAGTGAAAGTTGGGACGTGATCGCGGGCGCTCGTGCTCGCTCTTTCGGCGCTCGTCCTGGCTCGTTTCCGCGTTGTGAAAGGCCCGCCGCTGATAATGCGACGCGTATCGCGGAGGTAAAAGTGATCTGAAAGTGCACGGTTCAGATGCAGCGCGATATATGAACAGGTTTGTCGAACTGGTTTTTGCTGAAATGCGTGCGCCCGTAAATATCGGCGAAAAGAAAGAAAGGAAAAATTGATTTCTTCACTCGCGGAGGTTGCGTCGCTCATTGCCTGATCGCTCCTGAACGGCGAGGAAAATTTCGGCCAATCTTGACGGGCCGTCCCATTGGAATTCTTTTTTATATGTGTCGGCTAACTTACAGCATCGAGACGGCGACGACGGCATGTGCAGTTATTTTATAGGGTTGATCGGAAAGTAATTTCGGTTTTTTCAAATAGATGGTGTTAATTGCCTTTTTAAGCAGTTAACCTCATTCCAAATCGGAAAATTATTTTATATTTTTACAATGCACATCTCAAGCTTAATTTGAACAAAAAATTGTTATGGAATATGTCAAGTCGTTTTTGTTTGACGTCGCATAAAAAATGGAAAATCAACGTGAGTATTTCCGTCACATTTTGCTTTTTTTATTACCGTAAAAGCAAAAATGCAGCACAAGCAAGAAAAAAAATGTATGCTGTGTATGGAGAGGATTTACTAAACGTCAATGTCGGAATTGGTTTTTGAAATTTCGTTCTGGGAATTTTGACCTCAAAGATACATTACGTTCTGGTAAGGCCACTTGAAACTGATGAACCAAATAAAGGCATTAATGAATGCAAATCGTCATTTAACAACACGAGAAATTGCTGAGAGATTGAATTTATCGAATTCGACCGTGTATGAGCATTTGAAACAACAACTTGATTTCGTTTCAAAGCTCGATATTTGGGTTTCTCAAAAAAAGAAATTTGATTCGTCGCATTACCAACTGCGATTTGCTGTTGAAATGTGAGGAAAACGATCCAATTCTGAAACGACTTATAATTGCAGATGAAAAATGGATTGTGTACAATAATATTAAACGCGAAAGATTATGGAGCAAACGTGATGAATCAGTCCAAAGCACATCTGAAGCAGACATCCATCAAAAAAAGGTGATGCTCTCTGTTTGGTGGAATTGGAAAGGAATGGTTTTTTTTTGAGCTGCTACCAAATAACCAAATGATTCGAATGTGTATTGTCATCAATTGAACAAATTGAATGATTCCGTCAAGCAGAAGAGACCAGAATTGACAGGCAAGAAAGGTGTTGTATTTCATTATGACAACGCTAAATCTCATACAAATTTAATGACTCGCCAGGAGCTGTTACCGCATCCATCATATTCATCTGACTTGGCACCATCCGATTATCACTTGTTTCGGTCACTGCGAAATTCTCTGGATGGTAAAAATTTCGATTCAAATGAAGGTGTCAAAAACCACTTGATTCAGTTTTTTTGCCAATAAGGACCAGAAGTTGTACGAGCGTGGAATCATGTTATTATCTCAAAGATAGCAAAAGGTATTAGAACAAAATGGTCAATACTTAACAGAATAAAACTTTTCTTTCCATTAAAAATATCGTCTTTCATTTTCATGCAAAAACCGAAATTACTTTGCGAACAACCCAATATTTCGTTAACGAGAAACATGGAGCATTAAGTTATCGTCGAATATTCTTCCTCGAGTACCTTCTCATAAATATTAGAAGCTTGAGGAAAAATTCTTCTCGTCAATTATACGGATTGATTGTTCCAATGCGCGATATGAAGTAAAAGAAGGAGAAGAAGAAGAAGGAGCAGAAGAAGGGAAACACGGTCGCCGGCGAAGTCGATTCGTCCCGCGGATCGACTCACAAACGAAAATATATTTTTGCATTCGTCTTGCCAAATACTTCTCTGATTTCTCTGTCTGCTCGGACGCGCGCAGAGTAAATCTTGCGCGCCAAACTCAAGCCAGCTTTTTCTCTCCTCGCCTCGGCGGGAAACTCTCCCGTCGAGTTCGCCGCGATTCGTTCGTAATAAGTTGGATTGAAAATTACATAGTTCGCCACGGGCGCGCGCAAAGTTTTTTTATTATCCCGCTCTCGCGCACTTAATGGTATTTTGCGATCTTTCTCCAACTGCGATTGAGTTGGCCGCTTGAAAATCAATTTTGAGTACGTCTCATTCGTCTTGCGCGCGCGTCCATATTCGCGGGAAATACCGTATCGATATGGTTCCGTGTCGATACGGCGGAGGAAAAAGAAGGATCTAGGATGAGAGAGGAAAGGAAAAGAAATACAGAGTAAGGACGAGACGCGATGAGTCGGTACCGTTGAGAATTCGAGCGCCGAGTATGTCGGGCAAGACGGACGTTAACGGCGGGAAACGTCGACGGGGTGGAGGCGGGGGCGGGAAGGAAAGGAAGGATCGGTCCTACTAAAGGTAAAAACTCTCATTGCTCTCCCCAGGATCGTCGCGGAGTACGACAGAGTTCGTAATGCACTTCGATCCCTCAAGTCAATTTCATGGAGGCCGTGGCCGGCGGAGAGGAAGCGCGTGTACCGGCTGGAGAGCCGCCTGACGGAGAAGGACCGGGAGATGTTTCCGGTCACCGCGGACATCGACATCGAGGCTTATATCCTCTGCGTCGCGGCCACCGTACGGAAGTACTGCGTGAGCGAGGCCAACCTCCAAATTATGAAGGTCGTGCGCACGCTCCTCCTGCTCACGCCCGCGATATTCGTCGTCACCTACATCGTATTCCTGAATTATCGCACCAAGATCGCTATCAGATAAAGAAGGACCCACACGCAGGGTGTCCTCAAGCCTTTGTCCTGGAAAAGAATAAAGAAGAACAAAACATCTGCGGTGGAGGCTTAGCTCGTCGTTCTTCGAGCGCTCTGTAATAATAATCTCAACAAGTATCGTTGAAATTCGTAAACATGCGTTCTGAAACTCAATCGTACGCTCTCTTCTCACGCGCAAAAATTTAGCCCCTGAATAATCAACTCTTCGCAAAAATGACGGTCGGGACATTTGTTTTCCAGATGTTTCAGACGTTTAATAAATTCAATGCCGAAAATAAAGCTTTTCAGAATTCCACTCATCCTGTTTCTTTATAAGATAATTATTTGAAATAAGGCCTTTTTCGAGTTTTGATATTTTTTGCGGTTTTCTTGGTAAAAATCTTTGGTCTGATTCTCTCTCCAACGTGGCTTGTCCGGATCTGTCAAAAATATATGATGGTCCTTAAAAGGGCCGATTTTACGTCTATTTATGCTTGAAAACAAAACAACGCTACTAAAAGAGATTAGCAAGAGCTCTATACAAGGTAGAATATACAGGATGTTTCACTTAAAAAAATATGCTCAAATATACCAAAAACGTCGCGTTTTAGAAAAAAATGTTTAGAATAAAAATTGTTTAGTTTTGAGGGGGACACAAAGTGATAAAATGAGCTTGATCTTGTGTAAAAATTCCAAGATCGCGTAAAGATCATATTGAAATTTTTAAATATTAATTCCTATTTTTTATTGTAGATTCTTGTAAATGACGTCAGGACTTCTCCAAAACGCTATAAATAAGTGGAATTTCTTTTAGAATTTTCTGAGTTATGAGTTCTTAAAATTTGAAAACCGCTGACATTAGCGTTACTCGACGTGCACCGCGGGGAGATTACTCAGTCGGATTTTGTACATCATGTAGCCCTAAAAAAGTCTGATGTAATGCAAATATATAGATGTGTTTTAATCAAATAGATTAAGTTAGGTTAGGTTAGGTTAAAAAATATGTAGATGATATATTTTTCAGGCACCCCCGATTAATTATCACTATTAGAGTCACAACAAAAACTTTTATCAAGAAAACCGCAAAAAAATATCAAAATTCGAAAAAGGCCTTATTTCGAATAATTACCAATGAAATATTTTCCTCATTGAATTAAAGAAATTTAATTGCACTCGTACTTTCAATCGACGTCTCATCATTTTCACGAATGTTTGGTAACAACGTTACTCACTTAAGCAGCTTAGTTATCTGGGATTAATCGCGTCTTCCCCGGAGCTTTTCGTGTCGTCGCGCTCGAACGATTGATAACGCGCGAATAGTGTTAACAATACGACGAATCTCAGGCGCAAAGTCCTTCCTTCGGCAGGAGCCGAAAGTATCTCGGCCGTTCATGGGATCGATTCCGCGGGCACGTTCGCGGACCGTGCGGAATCGTACGTAGCGCCTCGCGCAAATATTCGTGAGAGCTGTGCCGAGGTGTCTGCATGAGAAAATGCCGCTTGGATGAAAGTTTCCAGAGGCGAATGTCTACTCGCCTCTGAGCGCTCGCGGTATCAACGAGGGTATATTTCCGACACGTTCTCTCTTATGCAGCACGCGCTGACTCGTACTCATTCCACCCATCGAAGGGGGTACGGGGAAGACGCGGAATATTATTTGCAGATTTTGTATGTTCTCCGAGGGGCGCGAGGGAAAGGGTGGGAATACGCGCGAAATTCTCGCGAAAGCTTCCCGACGCGCGTATGCGGGAATCGCCTGGAGGCTGAATGCAAGAACGCGCCGTGGCGATAGTGTTTTGATATTTGTTTCCAGAGTAGCGAGATGTAAGATGTATAAGAGATACTTGCTGATGCTTACACGTGCGTTTGAACATTCTTAATTTACGTGTGATAATTGTGTGACCAAAAGAGTTCGTGCGGTCTGGCACATCTAAAATTCGACGTGGGCAGAAATTTTTAGAAAAAGGTGTTAATCGATACATGAATAAATAATTGATAACTTGTCGTTATCAATAATGGAGGGTCTTCCTGAATGCGTCTCCTTGAGTGATTCATTGCCGGAAGAAAATTTCTCAATTCTCTATTTCTGCCACCTCGAGCAAAAAATTGTTAGGGTCATTCTTATGAAGTATGAAGCCCTGATAAGGCTGAAGATAGGATACCCTAAAAAAGGATGCGTCATTATTACCACATCAGGCTCCGAGGTGGATTTTTTAGGGATATCTTAAATTTTACAAAATAAAGCTTTTATAGGGAAAACTGAAAAGGGCTTTAGAAGAATTTTTTAGGAATGTCTTAGATTTAATATTAAATAAGGCTTTGGTAGGGGAAGCTGAGAAGGGCCTTAGAAGAATTTGTTAGAGATGCCTTAGATTTTACGAAATAATAACGCTTTAACATAGAAGACTAATGTGGGCTTTAGAAGGATCTTTTGAAAGGATGCTTCAGATATACAAAATCAAGTTTTGTTATAGAAAATTAATAAGATCTGAAGCGTGTAATAAAATTGTCGTAGTTTAGTATTATTTTAATAGGTACGCTCTATCTGATTCTTTTAACGATTTTTTAATTATACTGCAATTAAAAACAAATTTTATTAGTTTTATTAGTTGCCATATTTATTAGTCTCTTCCAAGGATTTTTCTAATGTTGCCTTTGTTTTAAAATGCAGCAAACTTTCATAAAAGCAATAGCAGGATTTTTATGTGTAAAGAATGCTATTTTATTGTAAAGTATATTATATTTTTAAAATAAAAAATTCTTACTATATACTAACAAAATTATAAAGAAATGAAGAAATTACAGTCTAAATTTCTTGGAATGAAAAGAACGAATATTTTTACTCTAGCAAGAATAAAAATATTTCCTTATAATATTAATATTTTCCTATTAATATTGCCTTATCAGGACCCATTAAATCATTTGTTATGCATCTTTTAGGGCCCTTGTCTTTCTATCCCTAATAGGGCCTGATTAATATTAAGGAAAAATAATCAGGCCCTTAGCAGAGCCCTATTAATTTTTCTACTCGGGATGCTTCTGCAGCTTTTGGTCCGAGTTTTAACTCACAAAGTAGATGTGCTCGGATTACACCGGACATACTGCTGTGATCAAAAAGTATCCGAACTTTATTTTTAAAAATCAAAATTACAATTCAATCATCAAAATTCTTATAGTCTTCTTCAAAGTAGTCCCCATTACTCGCAACGCATATATGCCAGCGTTTGATCCAGACCTGAAAACATCGCTTATACGCGGCAGACGGTATGGCCTTCAATTTACACAGCGATTTTTCTTTGAAGTCCTCAATCGATTCGAAACTCCGTCCGCGAAGTGATTTTTTCAGTAGGGGCAACAGTCGCAGGGGGCCATATCTGGTGAATACGGTGCTTGTGGAGCGACAATCGTTGAGTTTTTTGTCAGAAATTCACAAATGTCGAGGTGTCGAGGTACGCGATGGTGCGTTCAGGTTTTTCGGAATCAAGCGCGATGCGACCCGTTTCATGTTTAGTACATTGGACAAAATGTACTGGCACGATCCAAATCGACGATTTTCGAGCACCAATTCTTTCACTTTCTCAATGTGAGCGTCATCCGTTGACGTTGATGGTCTTCCAGAGCGTAGGTCGTCTTCAACGGATTCTCGTCTTTCTTGAAACTTCTTAAACCACTCAAACGTACTTGTTTTCAATAAACAATCATCGCCATAAGCTTCTTGCAACATTTTGAACGCGTTTGTGAACGAAATTTCGTTCGCAACACAAAATTTCAAACAAATTCTTTGCTCCATATTTTTTGACATCGTAAAAATCGCCGTGCACAACAATCTTCACTAACATAAACAACTTTCAAACGGCTTGAAGGAACGCCATGATTTTTTCACCAAATGTGAAGAACATGTGTACCAACTTAAGAAAGCAAACGGATTTGATTTACAGTTTACCCGCGATTTTTAAAAAATAAAGTTCGGATACTTTTTGATCACAGTAGTATTTAAAGCTGAATAATCGCAAACTAAGAGACCATGCCACGACTAATGTTCATTAATTAACTCACGCAAGTCTGTGCTATATGACATGCATAAACACGCGCGCCCGACGAGTCTCAACGAGATTCGATTGCATCGAACTCAGACAAAAACTTTGAGCAACTTTCTTGGTCACCTAATAATTAGTTACGTCAGCGAGGGAAGTGTATAGAATATTTTGTAATGGATTATTGTTAAACAAACACGGGCTACATAATAACATCTAATAATAATATGTTGCGTGCAATAAAATTTTATACAATGCTAGATTTCAAAACCTAAAAGACTTCTGTATGATTTAAGCTTTGTTATCACCGACGAACTTACACGAGTAACCGCGTCTCTACGTGTCTTTGTCATTTTCATCCACGATAATAACATGAAGCGGCGATAACATATATCTCTAAGCGGAATATTCTCACTAATATATAACGTATATTGTTCCATTTTTGCCGTCCTCCGTTGTCAGCAAAAATTTCGTTCGCGTGACTAGCCCGCAGGAGCTTGAGCCGAGTTATGCTTTGAAAATCCTATTACGAGTTGCGAGCGCGAAATTTAGCAAAGAAAGTTGCGGATTAGTTTCGCGGGATATAATTGGACGTGGTGGGTGGAACTGCGCCTCTTCGTAATAATAATTGGGAACGTCTATTCCGCGGGACCAAGTTTCTCGTTATTGGTAAGAGACCGCGAGAGAGAGCGAGAGTTCGGAGGTTAAAAAAGAGCTCGAAGGCGGGCGGTTGCCGGATGAAGGGAATGAAGTAACAGGAAAAATGGCAAAAGCGAAAGAATGAGAAACAGACGCGGAAGAAGGGAGCGGAGGGGGGGGCAAGCGGAAGGTCGCAAAGTGAAAAAGACGTAGCGGGTGTATATATTCAATTTAACTCTAACAGGTATGAAGCATAAGATGCATATATCCGGGTAAATATGTATTATATATGCCCGCAATTGTCCCTCTCTCTCTCTCTCTCTCTCTCTCTTTATTTTTCTCTCTGTAAAAGTGGCTTACACCGGCCGGCACGACAGAACGGCACGTTCGAAAGAGAACGCGCCAAAGGGCCCTTTGTAAATCCGTTCAACGTTTCTTATTTTCATAGAACCGTTTCATATAAATCCGCAGCCGCTAAATGCGGATGAAAACAACACAGCGCCGCCGCCGTCGGCGAAAAATCATCGCGGTAAATCGACGCGCATACCCCGGAAAATTTCTACTCGCATCTTCGCATCTTCGCGTTTGACGCGCGTGTTACGCGCGACAAACTGTTCTGTATTGTCCACTTTACATTTTACTC